GGCAGGAGGCCCGGGCGACCTGGCCCAGCACCCTGTGGATGGGGATGACCACGAGGACCCTGGTTACGCGGGGACCACCTCTTGACGAAGGGCCTAGCACAGGACCTGACCCAGAGGAAGGGCCCGGGGACCCCCGGACCAGTGTCAAGGTCCCCATCCCAGCTGTGCTGCTCCCAGGCCACCGTGTGACTCAGGTCAGCTACCGCCCTCTCTGCACAGGTCCCTCACCTGCAGAATGGACCGTGGCAGACACTACCCTCTGCCAGCAGACTCCGGCTCTCTGTTTCTCAGATTAGCAAAATCCTGGTTCTGCCCAGTGAAAAGTCTTACATTTTCCCAAGCTCTCTGGTGATCAGAGTGGCCATGTGACAACCTGCTCACCAATAGGTATAAGCCCGTACACTGTGTAGGATTTCTAGGAAATCTCCTTAAAAGGGAGGAAAGTCTATTCTCCTTCCATCCTGCTGCCTGGGACATGGGTGGGATGGCTGGAGATACTGCAGTCTTTAGGGCCCAAGAGGACAAGAAGCTGAGTATTTAAGAGTCTGGCCCCCGATCATTCCACGGGTTGCTGTAACTCCTGTCTTCCAGCGTTCTTTACGCATAAGAAAAAGAAGACCTCCATTTTGTCTAAGCGCCTGTGTTAGGCTGGCTGTCCTCATGGCCCCTCTGTGTCCACACTCCTTGCCCTGTGACTAGGCACGCCTCTGGCTCCGACTTTGGGCCTGGCCTGTGACTCGCTTTGGCCAACTGTGACATAAACAAACAGGATGAGATAAGGCAGGGGCTTGAAGAGGAGCCTGCTGTCCCGGTTCCCTGGGACTGCCCCCAGAACGTGTCCAGGCCACCCTGCTGGGAGCCCAGCGGTCCCAGCCAGGGCCCCCCCGGCTGGCTGACAACCGTCAACCCCTAAACGGGCCACAGAGCCCTGGCAAAGCCCAGCCAGAGGGCTGCCGAGTGACCGGAGCAGATGGCCTATCCTCAGACGCTCCTGGCCAAGCCCAGGGCCACAGTCCCCACAGGGCTGCCTCGGGGGCCACCGAGGTGGTGGCCTTCCCCAGGTTTGAGATGAGCAGCGGCGGCGGCGGCGGCCAGCTCTCATTCCTCTGCTGCACAGTGAAGCCGTGTTGATGTCACTTCAGGCCAGCG